CAGAAAATTTGTTACTGAATATGTCAATGCTATTGTAATGGAATGCTTCTTCTAAGTATGTGGTTATTAAATAAATAATTAACTGGGGGAAAAAAGCTCATATTTTGTAATTTTAGAAGAAAACAGTTTAGACCTTCCTACTAATAGTAAATACTTATACTGTTAAAAAAAATCACTATATAAATCAAACTTTTGCCAATAAAAAAAATCATTAAAGAAAATAAAAAAAAAAAAAGAATGAGCACTACTTACCTGTTAAAGAAGGTAAATTAAAGTCTAAGTTGACCCTAAACTTTCTATTTTGGGGCAATTAGACCTCTAGTATGGAATTACATGTATATGAATATTATACACAGAGACATTTGAGCAGCTTTATGTAATTTGTAAACAATGCTATTTTCCTTAGTACATTTACTCAAAAACATAAAATAGATATGCTAATATCAACAGAATAGCTAAGCTTTTATGTTAATAACAAAACATGTGCCCTTTGATGTAAGCTTCCTTCTCTATCCCTCAGCACACGGCCCACATTAAAAGATAAGAAACTACATCCCCTTATGTTATATTTAATCTACTTCCCAAATTCCCATCTCACCTCAGCATCGAAAGACGCTTCAGCTGAAGTTGAATCAGCCACCAACTGGATATCAAACACGGGACATTTTGGAATCTTAGGCTTGCTAATTAAAATGACCAAGAGATTAAATAGTGTTCCCCTAAAAAAAAAAAAAATATAAGGCCATTAATGGGTAAAGTTTTAAAAAGAAAAACAGTGAAGTCAAACTTACTTCTTGACTGGGGTTTTGGACCCTCAGAAAAATAGATGAATATCTAGAAATAAGAACTACATTATTTTTTGAAGTAAGAAATTTAAATTTTAAATTTTGAGCTTAAAATTTTTTTTTAATTTTAAGCTCAAAGAAAGTATTGTTCTAGAAGTTCACATAGCCCAGAAAGCATAGAAAATCTAGATTTAAGGAAAATTTTGGTGATTTCAAGCATAGCAATATTTTCCAAAATATTTTTTGGATTATTATTTTTAAGCAATGTTACAATCAAAATAGATTCTGTAGTCAAAGTTAGTATGGGGAGCTTGGTTAAACTAAGTTCGTTAGAAGTACAAATATGGAAATAACTTGGGAAGAGGAAAGAAGAAATGGGTAAGAAGGAGGAGATGAAGACGTAGAGAGAACTGAAAGCACTGTAAAGATAGGGTAGCAAACTGTTATCATAAAAATAGATAAAAAGAAAAGCTGAGAAAAAATAAAAATGAAGATGAGGCAAGATGTTACATGTCTTAGAAAGCCATTGTCTATTAATCATATTCTTTTTTTAATATTTTATTATTTTTATTTTATGTGTATGCGTGTATTGCCTGCATGTAGGTAAGTGCACCCGTGTCGTGCAATGCCCACGGAGGACAGAAGAGGCTGTCGGATCCCCTAGAACTGGAGTTAAGGAAATTGTGAGCCGCCATGTAGGTGCTGGGATTCAAACCCCGGTCTTCTGCAAGAACAGTCAGTGTTCTTAACCACTGAGCTATCTCTCCAGCCCCTATTAATCATATGCTAATAAGTGTATTTGTGATATAAAATTCCTTTACACAGTGCTTTCTCTGTTTCTTACACATTTTTATTTATGGGTACACACATTATACTTAGCTAAAATATTTCATAATTTTAAAATACTGATTATTGGGCTGGAGAGATGGCTCAGCAGTTAAGAGCACTGACTGCTTTTGCAGAGGACCTGGGTTTGATTCCCAGCACCCACATGGCAGCTAACAACTGTCCTTAACTCCAGTTCCAGGGGATCCAACACCCTCTTCGTACCTCCAAGGGTACGAAGTGCATAACATGGGTGCACTTACATACACACAGGCAATACATTCATATGCATAAAACAAAATATTTTTAATGAAGCAAGTACTTTACCCACTGAGTCATCTCTCTACCCTTAATGTACAGTATTTCTTAAATTCTCACTAGACTCCAAGTTTTGACTCCAGAACCCATTTTTAATAGAGCATTTTAAGGGTTTTCTGTACACTAAACACAATGAACTGTTAACAAAAACAGCATTAAACCTGGTCTTTTCCTTTCAAATGCACCGTAACTGTTGATTAACCACAAGCAAGTCACTTACATGTTACTACATGCTTGATAGTATATGATCATTATTTAACAACGTAAAAACAAAAAATAATCACAATTCAAAATGTGCATTCTGAGGAGCTGAGAGTATAAGATCATGTTCTAATGCCAAATATACTCCACGTGTGGTTGAAAAGGAGCTGAAAGCAAGCCGCTAGAACATTAACTGCCTGCCTGGGCACGGCAGGGCATATCTGTACTCCTCACTGCTGGGGCGGCTAAAGCAGGTCGATTGTTTGAGTCCAGAAGACCAGCCAGATCAACACAGTGAGATGATATTTGTAAAAAGGGCGGGGTGGGCTAAGCTATTGGGGTGATGATTCATGCCTGTAATCCCAGCACTTTAGAGGCAGAGGCAGGAGGATTAGAATTATTCTCAGTTACATAGTCCAACCTGAACTAAATGAAATCTTGTCTAAAAAAAAAAAAAGAAAGAAGAAAGAAAGAAAGAAAGAAAGGAAGAAAGAAAGAAAGAAAGAAAGAAAGAGAAGACAAGAGGGAGGGGAGGGAGGAAGGAAGGAGGGGAGGGAGGGAAAGATGGAGAGGGAGGGAGGGAGGGAGGGAAGAAGACCACCTACCTAAGAGAAAACAAAATAGCTTTGAGACAAACTAGTAGTGAAAGAGTTTAAGGATGGGACAGTATGGAAATTCTCTACAATCATAAAGGTAACTTTCATAATAAAATAAAGAAGACTATAAACAATCCTTATTTCATAATACTTGAGCCTTCCTGTTGTTTTATAATCATTTAAATCATTACATAGTCAGAAGCCCATGGTTAACCAAAATCCTAGAAAATATACAATTCCTTTCCTTTTTCCCCAACTCAAAAAGCAAGTCTAAGTCTTAATCACGTCACCATATTTCTCAAAAAATCAGGATAGATCATTTATGATACCTATACCTTCTGCACTATTTAAAATGGTCAATCTGGGGGCTGGGGACATGGCTCAATTGGTAGAGTGCTTACCTAGTGTGCACGAGGCCCTGGGTTTGATCCTCAGCACTGAATAATAAACTAGGTGTGATGGCACATGCCTACACTCTCAGCACTTGAAGGGGTGGAGGCAGGAAAATCAGGAGTCCAAGGTCATCCTCAGCTACATAGTGAGCTTGAGGCCAGCCTAGGCTACATGGGACCCTGTCTCAAATAATAAAATAAAATAATAAAACAGTCTAGCTTACTTTTAGAAAATACTACCAAAATTTCAATAGAGTACTCCTTTTAAAAATTTTTTCTGTGATTGTCTTTGTGTGTGTGTGTTGTATATGCATATGTATGTACAGATATGCTCCTGCACACAGACATACATGGAGGCCAGAGGGAAGATGTCAAGTGTGCTATCATTTTCTGTCTTATTCCCTTGAAACAGGGTCTCTCAGTAAACCTGGAGCTAGGCTGACTACCAGCAAACCTCAGGAATCTTCCTGCCTGTGCCCTGTCCCCTCTCCCCTGGCTTTGGGGTTACTGGCAAGCACAACCTTGCTAATACTTTACTTCAAGTTCTGGGGATTAGAACTCGGGTCCCCATGCTTGCTCTTACTGATCTCCTTACCCGCAGAACACTCCTTTTGGAATCTTTTTCAGGTATTAAGTTTGAATTGATATTCCATTCACTGTTCTATTTAATTATAACCCTTTATTCCCAGTAACAGAGTCTTTTCAAATCTAAGAGAAGGTACTCTAAAATTCTGGGTCACTTACTGTGATAATATATGAATTCAACCATAACCACAAAAATATAAGAGTATGGCACATTTCAAGAAGAATGTAGCAAGGCAAGTTGAGTTAGCAAAGCGTCCACTTACAAAAATAATAAAGAGAAAATGCTAAAATGAATAAATGCTTTTTATTTGCTCAAATAGAACTTAGTTTGAAATCCACCCTTTCTACCAATTCACTTAATTTAAAATTCACTTGACTGACAATTTTAGTCAAAATGCTGGTTTCATCCAGAAAACAGAGACTCTTAGGATTGCATCACAGGCTTAAAAACAGTTCCAACACTTTAATAGTTTTATTGTTCAGAATGTTATTGTTTCCAATGTTTGAATTTTCAGTACATTACAGTATATTCTAGCGTGCAGTCTTTGAAGGTTAGACTTAGTCTGTGATACTGTGGAAGGTGGCCTTCTAATGCAGCTTCTGATCGTCCCATCCCACAGCACAGGTATGTATAGCCTCTACAATCCCCTGCCCTGTGTATGGGCAGGACCTGTGACTACATTTGGCTATGGTTCTTATGGTATATTAATTATATTACATATTATATTAGATGATAAATGTGAAGGGGTTTTGCACATACAACTAAGGCCCCTCATAGTGACTTTTTAATTAATAAAAAGGAAAGCAAACTGGTTGAGAGCGATCTAATCAGTCAAACCCTGTAAATGAGGGCCTTCCCTAAACTCAGAGATGAGCCCTTCCAAGAAAGAAGCCCCATGAGTTCTATAGCCCTTCTCCCAACCCCACCCAAATGAGCTCAGAAGAGACCTGCAGAGCCAAGTGCTGTGGCTGAAGCTTTGGGAAACCCTGAGCAGAGGACCTGGTGAAACCATGCCCAGATGTTTTTGTTTTTGTTTTGTTTCTTGTTTTTGAGACAGGGTCTCACTATGTAGCTCTGGCTGGCCTGGAAGTCACTAAGCAGACCAGGCTGATCTTGAACTCACAGAGATCCACCCGCATCTGCCTTTCAAACACTGGGATTAAAGGCAGGTGCCGCCATACCCAGCCTTGTGCCCAGATTCTTCATTCCCAAGAAATTGTAAGATGATAATTAAATGTTGTTTTAATTCAGTTGGCTTATATAATTGGTTATGAGGCAGAGAAGACTAACCTACATTTCACCTTCACTGTTCTCATTGATACTATGAGTAACATGGTAATCCTATGCCTATCAAAATTACCTATAAAATTACTATAATCAGGCTACTATAGCCACTGAACATACCTACTGAAGGATATGAAAAGAATTAGTCTCATTAGGAGAGAGGATTATCAAGCTGACACAGGCAAACCAACTTAGAACAGGTAAAGGCCAAACCACAACCAAGGTAGGGTGGGTTTTTTCAACAAGGATAGAGCAAAGTAGAAACCAAAAGGTAAAGAAGAGAAGACAAGATTTGGCAGTAACTTCAGGACGAAGGTGGCAAATAAACGTTAAACACTCCTGCAACTCCATCTTGGAGACTGGGGAAGTGATAGCACTGTCAGCCACAGGAAGCAGAATGCAGAGTACGTAACAGTGCATTTCTCTCAATTATTATCAAGCAAAGGTCAGGAAATCAGGGTCTGCAAGTCAGCTCTAGCCCACAACTTGTTCTTGTAAATACATACTTCTTTTTTCTTCTTTTGCAATGCTGGAGATCTAACCCAGGGTCTGGTGTATGCTAGGCAAGCATTCTACCACTGAGCTACGCCCTGGAAATAAAGCTTTACTGGACCACAGTTGTGCCCATCCATTCTGTACTGTAGAGCATTACTTTTGTGCTGTGATGTCAGTCTTGAGTAGTTGCAGCAGAGACGACAGGGACTGAAAAACAGCAAGTCTCTACTGTAAAGTCCTTCACGAGAACGTTTGCCCATTTTTCTGTAGAGGACAGAATTCCCATAGTCCCTGGTACATCACAAACTAAGAAACATTTTAATGTATATTTTTATTGAATTTTTGTGTATTTCATACAAAACATCTTAATCATCTTTATGACTTCCTCTATCTGCACCCCCCGTAGCCCCGCCACCGGATGTCATGCATTCTGTCATATGTGTTAAGGCCTATCAAGTCAAGTTAGTATACCCAGACGTCCTTCAGTGCAAGTTCATTCACTGGGGACTAGTCAGGTTCATATTCATTCTCTCTCTCTCTCTCTCTCTCTCTCTCTCTCTCTCTCTCTCTCTGAATAAATCTAAAAAGAAAAGAAAAACCATGGCAGTCACTGTGACACAGGCCTCACTCCGTCCTACCCCACAGGTCACCTAGCTCCTTTGGGATCTGCTTTCCCTGAGCTGCCAGCTAAGTGCAGCTCTCAGTCCTCAGCAGAGAAGCTTCTTTTACAGTCAATGTGGAGACCCACAACTGGTCAAAACTGCAACGAATGAGACACTATGAAGTGCACAGCCCTAAATGGGACATCTCTATCATGACCTCTCCCTATCGAAGGTCAGGTGTCATCAAGAAAGAGGGGGCCAAAAGATTCTATGAGGCAGACGCTGTGGAGGACTACTGTGAAACAGTGTTTTCTACACATGACAGGCCCATTATACACATGAACTCACAGCAGCTTTGGCTCCATGCACAAAATCAAGCCAATCAAAACTCCCAGCATGGGACTAGAGTGATGATGGCTCAGTAGTTAAAAGCACTGGCTGCTCTTGCAGAGGACCAGGGTTCATTTCCCAGCATCCCCATAAAACTATCTATAACTCCAGTTCCAGGGGATACAACACCTACTTTTGGAGAAAAACCTACTTTTGTCACATCCATAGACCTCTTCTGGACTCTGTAGGCATTGCACAACATAGGTGCACTTACATACATGAAGGTAAAACACACACACATAAAATTCAAACAAATGAATAGGGGCTGGAGAGATGGCTCAACAGTTAAGAGCACTGACTGTTCTTGCAGAGGACCCAGATTTAAATCCTAGCACCAACATGGCAGCTAACAACCATCCATAATTCCAGTTCCAGGGGATCTTCTGACCTCTGCCGGCACTGCACAAAAGGGTGCACTTACATAAATGCAGGCAGTATACTCATACACATAAAAATAATAAAATATTTTTAAATGGATAAATAAACTAACTGACCTGGAAGCCTCCTCCCCCAATCAGAAGATGGTATGCAAACTGCCTAGAGAGAAAACCAATCAATGGTCCTACCCAGTATAAAGCCTATGAAACACAACAATGACCAGTCCAGTAAATAATCTCTATTGGTACAGCATTGCACTTTTATCTAAGGGGCAATGAACAACTGTCTAATTGGACTTTAAGGCCCACTTGATAGAAGGGAACTCATGTGTTGTACTGTAAACATGGTCAAATACACACGACTGGAGATGGCATAGACTCCAGAGAAAAACCTACTTTGGTCACATCCACAGACCAATGTAATTTCTTACAGATCCATATATTTACAGACAAGTGTACTTCTCATCACTCATCAAAGACACTTCTGTTTACAATAGATGGAGACTATGATGAAGTTCCACAACTGTGTCAAATACAGAGAAAAAATGTCTGTGGAGTGCCCAGCCCTAAGTGACACATCTACAATGCAACCTCTACACCGAGGGCTCAGGGAACATATTGGAACAGGGGGAAGAAAGAATATTAATGCATCTCTCAGCTCTCACCAGTGAAGCATCCTCATGCAGCAGATGGTGATTAACCAAGAGAGCCACACTGACCAAAGGGCAGAGACTAAGAATCTGCACAGTGCTTATCCCTGAATAAGACACCTATATCAAACCTCTGCCACCCAAGACTTGGGGATTATTTCAGAAGGGAAGAGTGGAAATATTCTAAGAGCTACAGGTGATGGATGACCACAAGAAAACAGTTTCCAAACAGCTTGGAAGTTACTTGTATGAACTCATAACGGTGACAACATGTGCAAGACCCACACAATCTCAAGCCAGACAAAATCCCAGCATAGAAGTGGGGAAGTTGGGTAAGAAGCCCCAACTTTAGCTGAGGAACTACTGGCAACTGATCATTGCTGGGAGAGGGAGAGTCAGTTTTCTTTAAGAATGGGGCATTTAGAGGCCGGGTGTGGTGGTGCACACCTTTAATCCCAGCACTTGGGAGGCAAGACAGGCGGATCTCTGTGAGTTCAAGGCCAGCCTGGTCTATATAGTGAGTCCCAGGACAGCTGTCTAAAAAAAAAAAAAAAAAAAATGGGACACTAGATAGGTTAACCAGGCTCCAATGGATGGATCCACATCAAAGAACATTATACAAAATTGACTTGATAGGCCATAATACATATGACAGAGTACATGAAAATGGGTAGAGGACATTAAGAGGGGTGCAGACAAGGGAGGGGGTCTAAACATGACCAAAATAGTATGAAATTCACAAAAATTCAATTAAAATTTAAAAAAAAAAAAGTAAATAAATGAAATTCCAATGGATGGGGAGGAGCTCACAAAGCCCCAGCTGTAGCTAAGGAGCTAGTGGCAACTGTTGACTGCTGGGGCGAGGGGCACCTGGTTTCTTCAGGGATGTGCCCATGGTAGGTTGCCCATGCTCCAGTGGACAGTCCTACACCAATGTATGCACATAACAGCAGCCAGTGATTAAAAGAAAGAGTTCCTAATATTGAGAAGGAGATGTGGCTGAGGGGTAGGGAAGTGTTGAAGGGAAAGACTGGGGGGTGGATTTGATCAAATGATTGAAACACATCTCACATGTATGACTTCTCAAAGAATAAAGAAAAGCATTTTTTCAACGTGGCAGAATAAAAAGAGAAGAAATGTAGGTCCTGGCTGACCTCATAGAGAAAAGCTAACTGGCCACTTTAGACTGCCAGGTAGGAAAGGTATACATGTCTGTATTCTTTTGGACATACATTTTTTTTTTGAGTTTGACAGTTTCATACATGTATATAATTGAATTTTTGTTGTTTTCACCCATTACCCTCTCTCACCGCCCCCACTGAAATTCTTCCTCTTCCCAACAAGTCCCTCTCTGCCTTCAGACATTCGTGTGTGTGTGTGTGTGTGTGTGTGTGTGTGTGTGTGTGTGTGTTCCACTGTGTTTAACTAGGGTGCTTACTTGAGCAGGAATGAGAGATTTTCTACTGAAGCATAGGTAGCTCATCATGTTGGCCTTGTATTTTAAAATGTCTTTCTTCCAACAGTGCACACTCTACATTAATAAACCCTACAAGGTCATTCATTTCAAAGTCACACAATTACATGCTGCATGACAATGTTTTGGTCAATGACAAACAGCATATTCAACTGTGGCCGCATAAAATTATAATGCAAAAACTTTCAATCACATGCTAAAGCTGTGGCCGTCATAACACTGCAGCACAGCACATTATGCACCCTGTGGCAAGGCTTCTGTCAGCAAACACACTGTGCTGCAGGTCTTACAGAAATACAACACAACACTCATATTAGTACAGAATGCTTGATTATGATAACAGTAATGTTACTGGTTTAAGGATTTGCTGTACTATGATTTTAATCATTATTTTAGAATGTGCTTCTATGTTCAAATAAAAGTTTACTGTAAGACGGTATACTGTGTTATATCAACAGCAGCCTCAGACATCCGAGTACAGAATTTCTCGCTTGCACCATGTGCTCTTGGCTTGATTTAATCATGTGTTTTGTTTATGGTGGCCCTGGGAACAATAAGTTATACTCCCTGGATATGTATACAGATATACGTATATAGTCCATATAGCTTATATATGTGTGTGTGCGTATATCTTATAGAGCCTAGGTGTCTAGTAGATTATACCTTCTAAATTTAGATAAGCAGACATATCCCCATGGTTAAGCAACTATACATAAAAGATATGACTACAGTAACTTCTGCTTTTGCAATGTAATTTTTCTGTTGTAGATGTGAGCACACCCTGAAAAAGCTAGTGGAGATTCCCTGGCTTTTAGTGCATGATGGGACATTTGGTCTTTTTCAAGTTCACTGAACTAGAACAAAAGACATTATGCTAAGAAAAATCTTTGTGCCCCTACTGATCGGAGGGACAGAGAAAACTCAGCATGTGCCAATTAATGTACTCATCACAGAAGGAATGGAGAGACAAAAGAGTGAAATATACTTTCAAGGGGGTTGAACAGAGAAGTTAGAGTGAGCTTTGGAAGACACTCAAGAATGGGTAATGGTAGAAACGACACTGTCCCAATGTCTTCCTAAATCAAGAACAAAACCTTACTTTTTAGTTGCCAGTGTGTTCAGGCGAGATGATTCAATTTCTGTTTCTCTGAACATCAGTCCTAGGGTCTGTATAATTTCAATACATGCCCTAGAAAACAAAGAGAGAAAAACGGAAATGCATGATTATGTGAGGTCAGAATTTCACGAAAGCAGTTCTCCTTGAGAGAAGTGCTTTCAGATGTCCATACAGAAAAAAGCCCATCAAATTCTACACATCACATTGCCGACACTGACTGAGTGCTGGTCTGAGGTTCCGATACAGGAGGTCTGAAGACATGCGGAATGAATTAGCAATAGCTACAGGTTAGGACTGAGTCACGGTCTTCCTTTATTTAATTCTTTTGTCTTATTCTTTTTTGACTGCATATTTTTCCAAAGTTTTTAGGATAATTTTAAAATTATTTTTAATGTTTCATTTTCAATAGGTAAAATGTGGGTCAAAATATCAACCATATAAAAAGAAATGCAGTGAAAAAAAATCTCTCCTTCAGGTGTTCATCACCCTTTGGGGCGGCCAGTGTTACTAGTTCTTGTGCATCTTTTAAAATTAAAGTCAAAAATGTTATTTAAAGGCTGGGCGTGGTGGTGCACCCCTTTAGTCCCAGCACTTGGAAGGCAGAGGCAGGCAGATCTCTGTGAGTTCAAGGCCAGCCTGGTCTACATAGTGAGTTCCAGGACAGCTGGGGCTACAGGGAGACCCTGTCTCAAAAAGACCAAAAAAAAAAAAGCTATTTAAAAACATATATGCAGGGGCTGGAGAGATGGCTCAGCCACATAGTGGCTAACAACCATCAGTAACTCCAGTTCCAGGGGAGCCAATGCTCTTTTCTGACTTCCACAAGCATTATACTCACAGATGTGCTTAAATATACACAGGCAAAACACTCATACACATAAAATAAATTAAAATTTTTTCAAAAAATTCTATTTGAGAGCTAGGCATGGTAGCATAAGCCTCTAATACAAGCACTTGAGGATAACAGGATCACTCTGAGTCCAAGGCCAGCTTGGTCTACACAGAGAAGCTAGGCTATTCCGGGCTACACAGCATGCTGACTAAAAAATTTTTTAAATTAAAAATAATTTTAAAAATCATGTGAAGCAAAACTTGCAGCACCATTAGTCATTAATACTACATATATTTTTTCTAATATCTTCCACTTATCTTTACCTTAGGGGAAAGATATCTGATTATCTAGTTAGTACTTACACCAGTTCATCAGCCCTTTGGCTTTTATTTTGAAGTGCATTCTTATCCCTAGACTCCGGCAAGTACTCATGAAGTTTGTTCACTAGGAAATAGAAAAGGTCACTGGTCTGCAGGAGGAAGTGGGAAAGGGGATAATTAAGACATCAGCTGTTAAAATTCTGCCCTCACATAGAAGGACAAAGAAAACATCTCTTCTTCAATTAAAGAAGTGATTTAAAACACTTTCATTAACACTAGCATAATTCAAACTGAAAGCATACTTTTTTACTCACCACCATCCTCCTGAAAGATTAAGAGCCAAGGGATGTCATTTAGGCCTGGCCTGGGCACTGAGGATGAAAGTCATCCAGAAGTATGTGTATAATCTCAGGCAAATCAGCTACCTTGGAAAATGGAGCCGCTAACTCCCTGCCTTTCCAAAGTAATTTGGCCATTGCACAAACATAATAGGCAGAAAAACTCTTATTGAAACGTGCTGACTAACACTAAATCGAGTGTGTAGCACCGGTAAAGCCAATAAAAACAGTACAAAAACAGACTTACTAATACTTGTGATAATGCATTTGAAATACAGACTTCATTTCTATCTGACTACTCAAAGCTGAGCAACTAGTATTTTTTTGCGTTCTCATTCAAGTTCATAAGCATGAAAATAAGTACTGGCCCATAAAATCGGACGAGTTGATACAAGAAGCAGTGCAATCACTTCTCTTTTCTATTCCTCTGTTGTTCTTTTTCTCCCTGGACTTCAGATGACTAGGAACAACTTGGCTATTTAGACAAGAAGGCGTATGTGGCAGTTGTTTAAGTGATTGGCCTAGGAAGAGGCTGGGGACAATGGTGGGGAAAGGAAAAGAGCAAGGGGAATGGGATGAATATCCAGTGCTCTCAGAGTTCTTGTGCTTACCCAGCATCTGTATGTAAACTGACAGACTGTAACTGTTTAGCATACTCATTCTGGAGCCAGGCTCCTAGAGTTCAAATCCCGACTCTGCCACTTGTTAGCTATATGGTATTTCACAGGCTATGTTCCCCCTAGTTCAGTTTCCTCATCTCTAAAGTGGGTAAAGTGGGATTAATATCATTTCATGGAGTTGAAATTAGGACTAATAAGATAGTATTGGCAAAATCTGAATAGTGCTTATCACATTGTAAGATTTAGTATACATCAGTAAGTATGAACTCTCACCTGCTCACTGGTTCAAGAATTTCAGTCTTAAAATTTTATCCATCTATCTGGAATGAAAGTATTATGCCCAAAGAAGCCAGACTCAAAGAATACATAGTGTGCCATTCCATGTTAGTTGCATGCTAAGACAGGCAGTTCTAATCTATAGCAGTGGCCAAATACACGTCAGCAGTTGCCTGAGGCCAGGAGGATAAAGCAACTGCCTGCCTCAGGAAACAAGGCAGCCTTCTCGGGCAACAGTCATCTCCTAAAGTTAGTACTATATGGATATCTACTCTTGTCAAAATTCTTCAAACTTCATACCTACCCTTGACGCCTATTACCATGCCCTACACTGATTAAGTATGCAATAAATGCTGAGTTGTTAAAGTGCTGTGAGTAATGCTAGAGAGTGACACTGTCCAATATGGTAGCCACTGGCCATGGTGGTTCTTTAACTGAATTAAAACTAAAATTTTACTACTTTGGTCCTTGGCCACATTTGTGTTCTTAATAGCCACATGCAGACAGTGTTTATTAAACTGAGCGCCACAGATTATAAAACAGCAATGAGGGTTCCATACACAGAATTACCTGGGAAATAAAAAAGACCAAGGGACCATAGTTCGTCACTGAGGCTGACAGGAAAGAGAGCAGTGACATTTGAGCTGAGGCTTGGAGGATGGGCAGGTCTTTGCCAAGAGAAAATGAAAGGAAGACATATACTACAAAATTCAAACAGCAGAGAAACAGATGGAGGGCCAGAGAGAACTGGGTGTTCAAGTCATCCCACGCAGCTCAAGCGCTGAGAAAACAGATGGGAGAAATGAAAGACTGGGCTGAGTGCTGTTCAGCCTAGTCTCCTTCTCTTTCTCCGTGTCCTCTGTGCCACAGCCAGTTCTCCCTGCATCAGGCCTGTTTTAAGACTGGAAATACTTAAAAGGCCTCCAGACCAACACTATGATGCTCAACACTCACACCCTTCTTCCCATCTAACACTTGGGTGTTACTTCAGCTCTTCTACTTAAATATCAACTTTATATCCAACCCCTAACCATGTTCAGGTTGTCTAAGTGGGCTTCTCTGGGCCCTACTTCTCATGTCCCCCATCCCCTGCTTTTCCAGTCCTCTCCTAGCTGTGGGTTCTACTCTTGACAACCCTTGCTTCTGGTCCCACTCTTTATATTCCATGAAGAGCCTGTCGCACACCTTAAACAAGTAAATCATCACAATGCCAAATGTTTATGGGTAATCTCACCCACATGCTGAAATACCTATGTGTTTCAATTTGCTCACTTCTATGTGGAGATAAGTCTTACTCTTGTACTCTATCCCTTCTTCAGGAAAATCTACAGCTGGATTAGTTCTCCAAACACCTTTCCTATCCAGATAATGGCTCCTTATTGATTACCCTGCTGTGCTAAAACAAAGGCCATGCTTGTAGAAATCTGGAACTCATGGCAGTCTGTTCCAGATACTTTCAGCTCATGTATAAGCATATGTGGATAGGTGGTTATTCAAGAAAATTTAAAAGAATTTATTACCAAAGGTTTATTTTATTTTATTGAGACGGTCTCATATAGACAGACCAGGCTGGCCTCAAACTCCTGATCCTCCTGCCTCTACTTCCCAAATGGTGGGATTACAGGCATGTATCCCCAGACATTTTGCAGTGCTAGGAATCAAACCCAGGGTTTCCTGCATGCTAGATAAGCACTGGAGCTACAACCTTAGCTCCTCAGAGGATTCTTAGCTTTGTTTTAGAGATGCATGTAAGCCTAAAAGCATGAGAGAAATATGATACTGTCAAGTGACGTTAAAGAAAATTGGCAAACTTCCAGAAAATTCTAGTCCCTTGCTCATTTTTTTTCTCAATTTATAATGTTGGTGTCCACAGTGATCAAATTAGCCAGTGTGGGTGACCTATGGAGACAGCTTCAAGAGACCCTGTGATTCCATGCTCTATGGCCTCAAAATTTTTGACACTGAACAAAGGGCTCACACTGCCATTTTGCCCTGGCCCCTCCAACATATGAGAAGCCTTTGAGAGGGAACTGACACTGATTCTAACCACTCCAATATCTATCAAAATACCTGAAAGCAAATCCTGAATCCATCACTCTGGAGTCCAGCCTTGGAAGACAAAAGAAAAATGAGGAGAACCCCAATAGAGGGATGCTTTTGGAAGCCCTTGTCAAGAAATTCCAATGGATTCTCATATGAGCATTTGAAAATTGCCCTGTTCTGACTTTTTTCTGGTTCCCTATAAGAGTGATTGTAATGCTAATTACTCTTGCCTTTACTTCTCCTTCACATCTCCTAGTCATGATTCAAGGACTTTCTTTTCCCCTTAGAGATAAGAGTTATGCAATTTGGGAGTCTTTTAGATAGATGCACTGAAGGAATACCCCAATTGCCTCACCATGCATCCCTGTTCAGCATGGAAGAAACCAGAGCTGTCTGTGTCCCTATTCCCTATTGGCAATTTGGGTAACCTCTTCAGAGGATGGTGTGATAAGAATAGGAGGTAGGAATTGGCTAGGCAGTTAGGGTAAAAAGACCCCAAAGAAAAGTAGCCAGTTTCTTGGCTAAAAGTCAAAATGTCCTTGTGCCTGTCAGGAACATACTCTGTTCCAAAGGCCAAAAATGTTGAAAGTATTTGGGAGCTTGTATCTAATCCTTAAAAGATTTTAGGGTTACCTCTTCAGAGGGGGGAATGTTAGAGTAGCCAAAAGCCCCATAAAAATAAATAAATCAATCAAAGAAGAAAGAGTTTAAAAAAAAAAAAAAGAAAAGCTAACACTGCAGTGTTTTATTGTTCAGTTCAGTAAGGAAAGCCATAGGAAGTTTTTGAAGAAGCAATTCTATACAACTAGGGTTACATATTAAATATACACTGCACTGTATGGGATGTTCTGGAGGAGTTTACCTGCATGGAAGATAATCCCAATTTCTTTAGCTTTTCCATAAAAATTTCATTTCCATTTTCATAGTAACTTGCTTGGTCCTTTTGATGCCTGATGCCTATCTCTATATTTTTCCACAATCCTCTGAAGTCCTAGAGTCAAAATGTGAATGGTGTATTTCTAGGGAATCTACCCCTCACTGACCATTTTAGACTGCACATACCGCGTCAGACTTACCTGAGTCTTAATATTGTCATAAATTTGACATTTTAGTCTCTCTCTAGCTACTCTTTAATGTAATTAGCGTAGTTGACCATCCTGATTTGAGAGCTGTCCCAGCTATCCCATGTTCCAAGAACTCCCTTAAACCCAAAGCAAACTAGAAGAGCTGGCTGTCCTCATCTGGGAAAACCAAGGTGGTTATTCATCTGCACAGCACCTTGAATCACAGCACCTTGAATCTGTCTTGAATGACTGGTTGGTTGAATGAGCTCTTCACAACTGCTCAATAAGAAAATGGCAGCTGTATGTGAGACCAGTGGCCAGAATCAGGATGCAAAAGATAGCCACTGACATAGATGTGGCCCTAAACATGGCTCACCCTTATCTTGGCCTCATCAGCACATCACCAATACTTACCATGGCTTCTTAACCCCATCCACCGAAAACTGAAAATGAAGGTTCTATAATGTACCACAAGAACCAAGTTGCTAGGATTCCCTGGCGGGGGGGGTCACTTTTTTTTTTAATGCCAGTCTTATACTCAATTTTTAAATTTTGTATTTTTACTATAGGGAAATCTGTTCAGTAAAACTTCTTAAAATCTGCTTTCCTTATATCTCACATGCCAAAAGTTTTCCCCTACTATCTCTTCTTTGACAATATCCACCCAACCCACTTAAGTCGCCATGTATGATGCGTCCATTTCTTTCCATCTTCTCCCATACACATAAGCACTACTGATTACTTCACACATTTTTAAGTGTTAAGACATAACTGCATTAAATATAATCAGCATTTTAAATACAGCATCAGAATATAATGCTTGTTTATATTTTAATTTATGCTTAAATTTGACAACCAAGTGAAACAAGTTTTAAAGATTAAAATCATAACACCTACTTTCCAAAAAAGCCTTTTCAGGATGAAATTTTCCTGGGCTGCTACTTTAAGTTCTGTTATTAAACAAAGCATCTTCCTCAAAGTATTGTCTTTAAGAAAAAGTTCAGATTTAAGTTGACTGAAGTGCTTAATTTTCTCCTCAGATCTACAGAAACACATAGAGAAAAATCATGTAAAACATAAGAAACGATAGTTCATGGATATCTTAATTATTGAAATATTGTAAACTTTTGTTACTAATGGAATTCTAACACAGCTTTGTACTCTGAGCTTTAGTATTTATGAGTCGTGAAGCCTCCCTCACCACTGACCTGCTCTCTGACTTGCTTTTCACCTATGCACTTGACAAGCTGGAGAGCTCCTGCTGTCCGTGGTAAGCTCACTTTCACAGCATCACTCATATCATTTACCACAGGTAATGTTACTTGCTTAATACTTTTCCTTCGATCAAAGCAGTAAGCATATCTACAAAGACAATTTTGTATCACTACTTGGCAGGGAAACCAACATCACTTGGTGTAAATAGCAGGTAACTGTAAAGGAGGCATGAAAGCTCCACCTTCCAGACCAAGGCCAACTCTCCAGAAAGGACTGATGCAGAGTCAATACCAACAGCATAGGGCTCACAGGTGCTTCCTGATGAGAGCAGACTATCTGAAGAGAACTGCTTTTCCACATGGAACTCTCAGTGTGTGAGAGCACCCCCTCAAATCATCTCAGTCGTTGAAGCATGGGCATCCCACTCTTCAGGAAAAGACTAATGCTCAAGACCACACGTTTTCCTTAGAGAAAATAGCTCTGAATTTGATTCAGCACAAAATCTTAATCCTACTTAAAACGTTAGATTTTTTGCTATTTATTTTTAAATCCAAATACACAGGAACTATTTGGGGGCAAGGGGACCACCAAGGGAGAAAGAGGCCGGGAAAGGCAGTGGTGGGTGTGAATAAGAATAAAATATAGTGATATATATGTATCAGAATGTTACCATGAAAACTTTCTTTAAATGCTAGCCAAAAAATTAATTTTAAAAAGGGGAAAAAAGTATTATCTGCTACTCAGTCTATTTTCAAATCCCTCTATTTGTCTTAGGATTTTAAAAAAACATTTAGTTTGTTAAAGTCAGGGTCTTGAGCTAGAGCTATAGCTCAGTGGTAGAGTGCTTGCTTAAGCCCTAGGTTCAACTCCCAGTAGTGTCAGAAAAATACAAAAATAAAATCAGGAAAAAAAAACATGTAAGAAACCTCTGCATATCTTGTCACTAAGCTTCAATAGTTTTAACATTCAGCAAATGTTATCTATTCCCTTACACACGCGTGCTTTTAATTGATGTAAAATAAGCATACCATAAAATTTACCATAGTTTTAGGTGTGTATTTCAGTGCTGATCAGTGCATTCAGTGTTGTACAACTGTCACTACTGCCCATTCCCAGGGCTTTATTATCTTTCCAAACAGACATTCTGTACCATTAAATGATAACTCTCCATTCCTTTCCTTCCCTCCCCCCACGCAAGCCCCTCGTGACCTCTGTTCCATTTTTTACCTCTGCTTTTGCCTATTCTAGGTACCTTATATAAGTGTAATCATATACTATTTGTCCTTTTATGCTTAGTTTATTTCACCGTCTTCAAGATTCATCCATATTGAAGCATATGGCATAATTTCCTTCCTCACACTGCTGACATATACCCACACTTTCCAGTCAGATTCAGGTTTAACTTTCAACAAAAACACTTCATAGTGCTGTGTGTTTCACATCGCATCAAATAACGAGGGACAAAGGCTAGTTGTCTCACTTAAGTGATGCTAAGACTCATCATGGGGTTAGTTATGTGCAATACGACTGCTCCATTGTCAAGTTCCTCTTTGCCTTTTTATTTAATGCTTTCATCCCCTGGGTATTGTTGCATGGATCTATTAAAACTTTCACTTCCATTAGCTGGACTGCTGTAGAAGGGAATTTGCCTTCATTAACTAGGACTATTTGGTCATCCAGACTGATTACAGTTAATGCAGAAAAGGTGCACATCTTGCTATCTGTTTGCTGTTTTTGAGAAAGGGACTAGAGCCTGACGGTCTGTGTGTTTTATTTCTGTGGTGGAGACGCAGGGAGCATTTCTATGATGCATCATCATACCCTACTGAGTTTTTATAAGTTCACTGGGTTTCAATCACCCCATTCCTTATTTGTCTCTTCATTGGTTACTGGGGGGGGGGCTTCATGTGTGAGCACCTAAGACCTTTACTTAGAGCCCTGTTCACTTTGTTTTCTGGTATAAGCTGTTTTAGATTCATTTTGTTTGTTTCCCACCCCAGACCTGGAATCAACCATTCTTCTACAAAGCTTCACTTTCTTCTGGTGGAGAATATGCATATTTTAGAATTAACTTCCTCTTAGTTCATTTTCATGACCTCCAGTCTACCTCACTATCATCAACCTCTCAAAATCTGCCAATGACATAATATCACAGGTGTTGATATCATCAATTCACTGACCACCTGCTACATCCACAGTCCTATTTAAGTAGGAAGAACCAAGATTCATAAAGCCCATTGCTTACCTTCAAGGGGTTCACAATCTAATAAAAAGGAAAGTCAGGCTACAAGTAAATTCTATAGTCTAAGACCAACCAAAGATAAGAACGTGCTAGAATTCTGACATCTGGGAATTCACTTCCTTATCCTCACATGTAGGGACTTTCATGATCGTAGTCTCCAGCTCCATCTTGACTCATTTATTTATTCATCCTATAAAGGCTTGGTGCAGCCTACTGTGTACCAGGAACCAAGGCATAGTCCCTGCTCTTAGGGAGCATGCTGAATAACAGGGCAGCAGACAACCAAAGAAGCATTCATAACTTGACTGAGGAGTGCTACACAAGTGTAAGCAAAGATTATGGAGAGGTCCTAACTTAGCTTTGAGTGGTCAAGAAAAGTTTTTTTTTTTTTTTTGAGAAAAGTGGAGGCACACTAAGACCTTATGAGGTGAAGGAACTCAGGAGGGGAAGGAAAGAATAAAATGGGGTTCCAGAAGGGAAGCTAGCAGGGTAGGGCCTGGAAAGAAGAGAAGAGGTTTTCTGAGAGCTGTGACTAGTTCATTGGGAGCAGGAACTAGGACCTGAGTGTGAAGGACAGAGGAGCTGGGGAAGGAAAAATAAAAGACATTGTGAACATCACCTTATGAGGTGAAGGAACTCAGGAGGGGAAGGAAAGAATAAAATGGGGTTCCAGAAGGGAAGCTAGCAGGGTAGGGCCTGGAAAGAAGAGAAGAGGTTTTCTGAGAGCTGTGACTAGTTCATTGGGAGCAGGAACTAGGACCTGAGTGTGAAGGACAGAGGAGCTGGGGAAGGAAAAATAAAAGACATTGTGAACATCTCTGTAATCTGTTAAGAGTTTAGACTTTCACCTAAGGGCAAGGGGAAACCATTCAAAGGGGAAACCATTCAAAGGGGAAACCATTCAAGGGGAAACCATTCAAAGGGGAATTACATGATGAGATTTGTGCTTCAGGAAGACCTCTCTGTTGGAGAACAGGCCGGAGAGGCGGGAATGAAGGCAAAATGACAACCAGGAAAGTGCTGTAGGAACCCACAGCAGAGGCAGCTGAGAAGGGTGTGGTCTCCAGATATGCTAATGAGGCACAACGAATCATGGGGAGATTGGCTGAACATGGAGGGTGGTAAAATGAAGAGAAGAAATGAGGGTAACACCAGGACTCTAGGACCTGATAATGGTGACATCATTCCTTCCCTGCATTAGAAAAAGACGAAGGCGAGGGCCCAGAGAGAGGATGCTGAGTTCTCTTTTGAATGTGCTGATTTTCAGATTCATGTATGAGGCTATGGCCACTGGATACTTGTGTTTACAGACCTAAAACTCGGGGCATCGAGTTGAGGCAGAAGTATAAGTGTGAGTCAACAACACACACATATCAGCGTTAGAAGAGATGAAGAGGTGTGATAACCTCAACGGAGAGGTTATCACACCACCATTCCTTACCGATACGGCTTTTGATTTCCAATAACATGGCTGTGTGCACTAGCATATAGGGGATCTTGTAAAAGAGTAGCTTTCTGCAAGAGGAAAAAAGTGGGAGTTGTCAGAAGTCTGGTTAATGGAAATCAATTATCTCTACTTTTAGTCAATATCATATACTCTTTAATCCCTCCTATGGTGTGACCTATGATTTATTTATATAACTCATTCTAGAATTTGATAACACCATGGGGAATTTTCTTCAATAGCTATGGTTTTTAATAATTAAATATAACAAGTTTTCATTATATATAAAATGATTTATTTGCAGGGCGTGGTGGTGCAGGCCTTTAATCCCAACACTCAGAGGCAGAGACAGGTAGTGCTCTTTGAGTTCAAGAACAGCTTGGTCTACATAGTGAGTTCCAGGCCAGCTGGGGCTATGGGGAAGACCCTGTCTCAAAAAGGCAAAAAAAAAAAAGATTTATTCATGCTTGCTTCCTCAGCACATATACTCAAACTGAAAGAAGATGGAGCCCAGCATGGCCTTTGCACAACGATGTCATGCAAATTCCATATTTTTGAATTATTTTTCAAGTTCAAACAATTATCTAAATGCATGAAGTAAAACATAAAAATTCTGTTTCTCCTTCCCCGTCTACCCCACCATTCAAAGTAGATATTACCCTTTTGGATTTTGTCCTTCCAGAAAAATATAAACATTATATGCATTTATATTTTTTATAAACTATGACACATTTTCATAATATAGATTTAATCCTAGTTCAACTATATCACACATATTAATCTGGAACTTTACTTTTTCACTTACAATATGTAGACAGATTTTCTTCTCTGTGTATATAGACTTATAATTCTTCAATGATTACCATAGCATGGATATCTAATACTTTTGTTAACTATTCCCTTATTAATGGGGTTAATTTTTCCTAAAATCTTTAGTGTCTTAACATTTTTAGTTTAGTGTCTTAACAAACTTTAGTGTCTTTCCCTCTTATTCTTAGTCCTCAAAACAAAGTGCTCAGGGGGCTGGAGAGATGGCTCAGCAGTTAAGAGCACTGGCTGCTCTTGCAGAGGACCTGGTTCAGTTCCCAGCACCCACATGGTGTCTGTTACTCCAGTTCCAGGAGATCTGATGGTCTCTTCTAACCTCCATGGGCATTGCATTACATACACACAGGTAAAACATAAAAATAAAAATAAATAAATAAATAAATAAAAATAGTGTTCAGAAAGTTCTCTAGATAATCATTTGTGAATTTATTTATGTTTTTTTGCTTTGGTTGGTTTGGTTTGGTTCTTTGAGACAGAGGCTTTTGTTTAAGTCTTCATAAACAGAAGGGATTTCTGAACAGATCTTGATTTGCAGCTTATTCTTGTCCTATGCTTATTAGCAAAGCAGGGTAGAGATTGAATAGTGCCAGGGGAACTATGTGCTTTTTCTTAGTGCTTTGTCACTGTTCCATGTTTCAGAAAAACTCTCCCTTTTCCCACTCTTCAAATGTTTGTCTTAAATCTACATATTTATTGTTGTTATTGTTGTTGTTGTTTGAGAAGGAGGAAGAGAAGGAGGAAGAGGAGGCAGAGGAAAGAAAGGCAAGAGAAAGAAGGAAGGGAGGGAGGAAGGGGAGGGGAAGGGAGGGGAGGGAAGGGAAGGGAAGAGAAGGGAGGAAGACAGAGACTTAGAATATTAATATCTATATTTTAAAAATTCATTCTCCAACTATTCCTGTTAACTTAGTACAGTGAGAAAATACAGAAATAGGGGCTTATGACATTGCTCAGCAGGTAAATGTGCTTTCAATACAAGCCTGATGATCTGAGTTCAATTCCCTAAATTGAACCTTCCTAAAGGTGGGAGAGAGACAACTTCACACCCTGCCTCCTATATATCATACACACATATGCACACAATAATAATAAATAAAGTTTTTTTGTTGTCTTTTTTTTTTTGAGTCAGGGTCTCCCTGTAGCCCCAGCTGTCCTGGAACTCACTATGTAGACCAGGCTGGCCTTGAACTCACAGAGATCCTCCTGCCTCTGCCTCCCAAGTGCTGGGATTAAAGGCATGTGCCACCACGCCCGGCATAAATAAAGTTTTAAGAAAGGAAATAAAGAAACAAGGCAACAATGCTGAATTTTAGTCAAGGTCTTTGTCACCCACCTACCTGCAAAAAGTACCCTGATGAGACTCAGCGACAACTTCCCTCCTTGTCTCCTCAAAGACCCAGGTTCTTGTCCTTTTCCAGAAGATACTACTCTTTAGTAAGCATTTCTCCTGACTGCAAAAGCATAAATAAACTGTCCCTTTGCTCATCTGGTGCAATTTTGTTGTTGTTCACTTACATGTTTATTTCATATATTCACAGGATGTAACCAGGAAATAAGTAATTCTCAAAAAGTGGCCTTGAATTCCAGCAGACGTTTCAGGATAGTCCAGTGAATGTTTAGAGAAGTGACAAGTCTTTATAAATAAAAATATCCTTTACAAAAGGACATTTTTTTAATTGATGCTCCTCTATCTACTGGTTTGGTTTTTTTGCCAGGGGAAATTTTTTTTGGGGGGGAGGGGGCTCCCTTTGTGGTCTCCAGATGATACCAAGGAAATCGGGATACCCTCTTGGGGTTCTTTAGCAAGGTATAACAGGGTCTCATGATACAGCCCTGGCTGGCCTGGAACTTACTGTGTAGACCAGGTTGGCCTCACAATCCCAGAGATTCGCCTGCTTCTGCCTCCTGAGTGCAGGTATTAAAGGCGTGTGCTACTACACCTGCCTCTTGAGGTTTTTAGTCTCATTAATAAAAGAATTTCAGAACAGGCTGAAATGGAAGCTCAAGGACAATTTTATTACAGTTTAAAAGAAAAATGCCAGGGCAGAAAAACTGTAAATCTTTACAAGCTGCACAGAGGAGAATAGAGATGTGATAGTCATACCATTTGAGTTAAGACACATGGCAGACAACCAGCCACATGGAGGGTACTTTAGAGAAAGGAAGGAAGTCTAGGACGCCAAAAAAAGCATCCTTAGGCTCTAGCCGGCATCCAAAAAAGGAAAAGAAAAGAAGAAGGGATAGATGGGCCTCAGAAACCCAGGCAGACCCAAAAGAACCTCATGTGGCTTGTAGAGACTGCACTAGGGAGCAGGAATTCTGAGAAGGAAAAGTATATTGTCTCATTAAAAACTAATTATTCTTCCTACCTCTTTAGCATAGCTTCAGGTGACCCACCTTCTGAGGTGACCCCTTAGGTTGTTGATTGCCCAACTGGAATATTAGGTCTGCACACAGGCTAGAGAGTTCATCCTCTTGAGCAAAAGGAAATGGTTTTCCCTTAATGGGCCCTTGAAGCTTCTGTGTCACTCCTCTCTCTGAAGGGCTAATCCCCAAATCACTTAGGAACCTGTTTGCTGACTATTTTTTTTTTTTTTTTTTTTTTTTTTTTTTTTTTTTTTTTTTTTTTTTTTTTTTTTTTTTTTTTTTTTTTTTTTTTTTTTTTTTTTAAAAAAAAAAAAAAAAAAAAAAAAAAAAAGAGGACGATAAATCTTTCACTGTGATATATCAAAATAA